ATAGATAGATAGATAGATAGATAGATAGATAGATAGATAGATAGATAGATAGATAGATATCTGATTAGTAAGGATTTTTCGACTTGAGGCATAATTATGCCAAACTCTATGATTGAAAATATTAAAAGGACGGAATTATACCAGCAGAGTGAAAACTAGTTGTGTTGTTGCTTTGATATCAACTTTATGATTAAATAAAAATGTTATTATAAAATAAAGAAATCTGTATTTTATTTCAAACTACCGTTTAGATTTTTTTATTACAAATAGTATAATATTAAATATTTCAAATAATAATATAATATTAATTATATTAAAAATACTTATTTATTACAAATGCCCAAAAGATAGGCTTCGATGCCATCTCCTAAAGAAAATATAATTTTGCGACGAAATACTTAAGCAAATTAATAAAGTAACACCCAGCACCATAGAATCGAGGAACTATGTATTTGATAGGTTCTTTGACTCAAAAAGAATTAAACTTATTCAATTGAAATCCAACTATAAGGTCAAAAATTATCCAAATTACTTCATTTTTTATACCACTTTTCTCTTTTTTAAATGGTTTCAACATTTCGAAAAAAGTCTAAAGAATAACAGTAAATAATCCCTTATTTTTATTTCTTACCTGCTGCAAGCTCTAGGACATGTGCGACAGGTAAATAAGCAATATATGTATCACTGGGTCTAAAAAATTAAAAATATATAATAAATAATTAAACGAAACAGCTCATGAAATGTAGTAAAACTATGCAATGAATGCGATTTTATAAAATAAGATTCTTTAAGAAAAAATAAGAATAGAAAGGAGTAAGAATAGGCATTGAGAAAAATATATATTTTTAGAAGTCAAATTTTATTCATTAGAAATGGCCAATAAATATTTTAGCGAGGAAAAAACAAAAAAATTTATCAAATCCTGGGAAATCACTATTGTGAAAAGCGAATATAAAAGGTAGAAACCAATTTGATTGCCATGGGAAATTTAAACGGGTTTTTTTTATATAATCCATTGAACTCCTCTCAATTTCTTCCATCAATCATACTGGTTTCTATTTTATTTTAACTTATGTATTTATTTATTTGTCATTCCCATTTTTCTCAAAAGTTATTCATCAAATTTTGAAATTTTATTTTTATTTTTTCCTGCTTAAATATTATTTTGTGATCCCTAATGATAATGTAATTCTGACTTTTCCAAAAAAAGAATTCTAAGAATAAGTATAAGGGTAGTTATAAAGTAACTTCTATGTTAAACAGGTAAGCATTCAAAAATTTATAAATTTTAAACTTAACAAATAAAGCACATTTTCATACAATTTCAACACTTTCAAACACTTTCGCATTCAACAAAAATTATTGAAGGGCTAAAACATTTTGTCCTGAACTTCACTTGAATTCAATTTCTTCTCTTTTTGACAATTCTGTTTCAATTAGACTTTTAAACTATAGTCTTCAAGGAAAATATCGATTGTAGTTTTCAACAGATGATATTCTCATTGTGAATGCGCAACAATGCATTTTTCATCGGTGCGTTTAAAATAATCAAAGAGCTATGTTTTCTTAGAAAAAGTAGTTACAAGATTTGTAAAAGTAGTTACTAGATTTGTAAAAGTAGTTACTAGATTTGTAAAAGTAGTTAATCGATTTTTTTAGAAGTAGTTAATAGATTTTTAGAAGTAATCAAGGAATCATACTGAAATTCAAGTGTCGCTTGGGATATATTTTATAATGGGCAGTTCTCAAAAGTTGGGAGTATTACACAGATTTTAGTTATTTAGGTAGTTTCCAGTTGTTTCAACATGAATCAGTCAAATAGCTTGATCTATCAATGAAATTACTGTTTAATACTTTTAAATATTTTCTTCTGATTTTATGAAATAATTTTGCAATCAAATGCCCTATTTCTCCAAGAAATTTTTCTTGGACGTGAAATAGAATATTATCCAAACCGTAATAATCGTAACGCTAATCACACTAAAGAGCAAATTTTTTTGCTGCATTTATGCAAATATTTGATCTTATCTAATTCGGGTGTGAGGAAATTAATTTTACTCCTACAGCTACAGATTTTTTTAAACTGAAATTTTTAATTAATTTTTTTTGTCGAAGTGTGCAAATCAAGGAAATTGCATCGGAAACCTTGGCCTTAAATGTCCTTTTTTGGGGCTACGAACTCTTCCCTATTATGACCTGTTCAGAAGTAAGCGAAGAAACAGCTCATGATAGGAGAGGCACCCCTAGCGGCGTATGATGACATTTTTAGACAAGGGTTCCTATGCAGTTTTAATCCTGATGATGTGCCTTTTTTCTTCTAGAAATTTTTTGCGAAACTTACGTGACATCCTGTTATACATAACGTTTTCAAATTTCTACATTTCGGCAAAAAGGTTATTTAAAAAATAAGAGCAGCTTGGAGAGAGAAACGGATTGCAGACTTGAAAGTTAGCTATGCGAAAATATACAAGATCCGTTAAAACATCTCATGTAACATAAAGCAAAAAAAAATGTTTCCCAGTGTAATTTTCCCCAAAAGTTTAACCCTTAAAGTAATCTGATGCCCTAAAATTTAATGAAAAATTTACTGTGTTAAATTTTGCCCTTTTATTGTTTTACTGTTTTAACGACTTACATGAGCTGACGGGACCTTCCGTGAAAGAAATTTCTATGAAAATTTTTAAGCCTGTTACTTCAAAATTTAAATTAATACCTTAAACTTATGGCTTACAAAAAAATAAATTTACACTCCTAATTAAATTAAATAAAAGACCTAATTTTAATTAAATAAAAGACACTATTGACTATTTTTTCAAGACTTGAAATAACGCTTTATTAAATCTATAACTTATTACTTACTTCAGTTGCAAAGATGGACTATTCATGAGTTCAGCAAATCCTTTTACAGTTGTTAAAATATTCTTATGAGTAATCATTACACCTAAGGAAAACTATCCATCAGTATAATGTTTAATACTAGAAGTTAAATATCCGAACATTTATTAATCCTGTCATGATGGCGCATCAAATTACTTATAATTTTTAAAACTTCTTAAAACCTTATCTCTAAGCAATTCAGAAGATACTACGTTATGGTTAAAAAAAGAAGTAGGAATGGAGCCATAAGGAAGTTAAGAAATACTTTAGCATTGAAATTTCGAATGACAAAGTTGGTTTGTTTTACAAGCATAGTTTGAATGCCTTTTTCAAATAATTTCTATTTTAAAAACATAAATAATAAATATAATTTATGATTTTAAAAATTAATACCATGTTATTTTAAATAATTTATTGCTCTATGATATTACTAATGTATCTAATTATTTTCATATTTTTCAGATAATTATCATATTTGTAATTTTAGCACCAGTCTGCATACTATTTTACCATAAAAAATGCATGTTACACGAGTTCATAATTTGCCTTAATTCTTTTAGCTCGTTGAAGTGTAAAAACTTGTGTCTATTTTTATTTTAGAATTAATTTTAATAATTTATAATAATTCGATCAACCAATTCAATAAATACAGCTTTCAAATATAAAAATCTATTCAATCCAACCTTTTGGAATACCAGTTGATCCACTTGTGTACATAAGAATCGCCATATCCTCAGATTTAGGTGGAGAAAAACTTGCTTCTAAAACAAAGAATAAAGTAATAAAATAAGTTTTAAGTAATTAATTCATTATATTTTTAAATCAAAATGACAGAAGTGTCATTTACTTTAAGAAAACTAGCAGCATAGTTTTCAACCAATTTCCATAATTTTTTTTTATTTCAATTTTTAGCAATAACAATATTTTCTGATTAAAAATGTGTCAATCTTCATTTCTCAATTGACATTAAGTTGCTTGACTGATTTATATTAATTTTATCTAAGCATTAATCTTATCTAAGCATAAATTTTGTAATGCATAAATTTCATTAAAATTGTTGATCATTGAACATTTAGTTTGAAAAACAGCTTAGTCCTTATTCAGATATTTTAACGGAAAGAAAAAGAAAACAAAACATTTCTCAAACTGGAACTCAAAAATTTCCCTCTACCTTTTATTCAAAAAGAAAAGAGCTGTTTTTGATTAAAAAAGCTGTTTTTGATTTAATATAATAAATAAATAAATTGAGACAATTAGATAAAAATTTATTTTTAAAAAAATTAAGTATCTTAATTATTTCACATCATTACGAATATTAACTGTTCTTTTTTTTTTGTTCTATACCATTGTTACAGATAAAATAGCAAGTTATAAACTATGACTCGCGTAATAAACGATTTTAAAAATGAGACTCATAAATGGAAAAGATTAGCCCTTAATCAATTCACGGAGAAAAAAATTCTGCTGAAATTACCGCACTGCATGGTAATGACATTTCGGGTAAAGAGAAAAAATTAAAAAAAAACATAATTCTGGTTAATAAAAACGAAATATGGGGTATTTAAGCCATGTATTTTGGAATTTTTCTGTTTATAAAGTCACGGTTAACTGTAAATTTTATTCAAAATTATAGTTCTTATTACTACACATTTATTAAAAAATACAAAACTAAAAAGTAAATGTTACCGAATGAATGGTTTTTATGTCGTGCTCTAAGGTATCATGATGAAATTATCATATTTTACCACATTTACCAAATTTTATCACATATTACAAAACTATGTTTCTATGTTTATTTAACATACACATCGGTAACATGCACATCGGTAAAAATTACAGAGCTTTTCAATGCTCCCATAGGACCAAAAGCACGTTAAATGTTACCATATTCCGATTGTTTTAATCACTTTTTCTCTCTGTGTATAATTCATTGTTTATAGCAATACATTTAACTCTTCAGCGTACATATCAGAAACTAATACAGCTTAAAATATAATTCATTCATTTCTTTTGCTTTTATTATGTATACATATTGCAAATTTAAGCAAAACAAACGAAAAAAGACCACGTTTACCAGAAGAGTCTTTAGATTCTTTCCCTTTACTTTCAAGCTGTGAAAACGGCAGTGAATTTACATGTTTTGGTATACCTTCAGTAGACTTTTTTGTCGAACTTTCCATATAAACTAAATGAGTAACATTTGGAACTCGAGGTAGAACATTCTAAAATAAAATGTAGCATATCAATTTTACTTAAACTAATCACCAATTTATGAAATAATTTTGTTTCATTGCAATACATATTTAAGTTTATCTGGGAGACTCTAATACTTGTAAATTTTCTTGTTATTGTGAAAGGAAAACTGTGAGTGGTTTTATCAGTTTGAACCTAACGTTTCTAGGTTTTCTTTAATTATTTTAGGAGCCCTGATAATAAGAATAAATCGTAAATTGTTGTTAGAGTCGGCAAAATGAAAAACGAATCAACTTGAATAGCTTTATATCTAATGATCAGATTTTCACGTACTGTACTACAATCCTAATGGTTCGTATGCTAATGCTAATTCCTGCTAATCCAATGCTATAATGCTAATGCTATGCTTATCTAATGCTAATTTTACGCTTTACACTGCGTTTTAAACCAGTGCTAATATTCTATTTTTAAGTGCTTAAAGTGATTCGTTAACATTGCAAAAAAAATGCCTTTTTGGGTGATACAATTTTTTTTAAAAATGTATTTCAAAAGTTAATCGATCACAAAATTTTTTCCTCTTTAATAATTAAAGGTAGAATCCTTTTGCTTCCATTTTGTGTCATTTTAGAGCAATGGCTTATATTCGTTGGATTTGTGTACCGTCATTTTCGAAAAAAAAGATGTAGAAAAATTGAGGACTAATAACAGAACATCCGTTTTAATTTACCAAGAAAGGATATAGAGCTTGTTACTGAGATGTATGAAACTATGTTCGATTTACTGAAAACGCGGGTAATGTTCCTGGCCGGCAACGACCATTGGATACGCAAACTATCCACATTTCTGGACGGTTCGCGAGCTATTCCCTTGCTAGCCATTGTGCTAACTGCAGTAACTTAAGTGGTTTTGCCTTAACTCGCTAAGTTAATTCTGGTTGGTTATTGTGTGGCTCTGAGGAGAATTCATCTGGACTAAAAGCCTGGTGCTGTCTGATGTTATAGTAACATGTAAGAGCACATTTCTAATGGGGGTGCGATGAAGGAATGAAAGTGTCGATTGGTTTACTCACGCTGGTCTATGCCAAGATCAAGACAAAGTTATTCACCCTATACCTCTTTTTGAAGTAACTTTTCCTCATAACCGTGGTATCCCACACGACGTGCGACTGGTGTCTGGAGGAGTTCTCCCGATAGCCGCACTATACACTGAAAATTTTTTCACGAAAACAAGTGTGTCCACTGGATTCAGCTAAAAATTATAGGGGTATGAAGTGGAACATTAACAGGCACGCGTACGCTAAATGGATCGGCTGATCAACGCCTGTTATAAAATAATAGAAAAAATATCGGTGAAAAAAATTTCGAGTGACTTTTACTCTGTATTTATATATAAGTCAAATATGCAAAACGATTAAATAGGGGAAAAAAATTTCTAGTCTTCTTTGTATTTACTTTTTTTTTTTGCATTGCTTAACTAACTAACCAACAAAGTCACTGATTTAAGAAATACATATATTAATTTACTTTCTCATTATCCAATAAGAATTTTAGGTAACATTCATTTATTTTCCATTCCAATCAGCGTTTCATTCACAAAGAATGAGAGTTACTTTATTTCTTGCATTATAAATTTCCCGATTCATAAATATCGTTATACGAATCACAAAATGAAGTTGGAAATGATTTGTAATTAAGAGGATTACTTTGAAAGTATTTCCCAACTCTTCTTAAGAAAAATTAGAAGAAAAAAAACTTGCTCGAAGCCATTGTTTCTTCCTAAATTATATTTTTAAAGATTATTAATGCAAGAAAAATAGTGTTCATACTTTTAATTTTGGCAACAAATCTGATGAAGTAATGATATGAGAGACTTCAGTTTCTCGCATGCCATGAACAATACCTTCTTCTCCTAAAGTTGCATATAACGTCACAACTGAAATACACAGAAGTTAAAATATTAACGCCAGCAATTTATAAAAATTTAATAATCCTTTACATGCATAATTTAATACACTGAAAAATCATGCTTATAGGATCCGGTAAATCAGTATCATATACAACACATATATTAGTCTGATTTCAACCTTACATGCATTAATTTATGTTTGCATTAATTCTTAATAAACATTAATTCGTGTATAATAATATTATATATGCTGCAACAGGAATACTTAAATCACATACCAAACATTAATTAAACAGATTTCAATTACATATACATTAATTTATGTATGCATTTCTCCTTCATATGTATCAATTTATATACAGTTCGACATAAAAGTAAACACACTGAAAATAAAAATTAAGCACACTTACTTTTTACACCTACTTACAACACATAAATTAGACTAATTTCTACCTCACATGCATTAATTTATGTTTGCATTAATTCTAAATAAACATTAATTCATATATAATAAAATTATATATGCTGCATCAGGAATACCTAATTCACACACCAAACGTAAATTAAACAGATTTCAAGCACATATACATTAATTTATGTATGCATTTCTTCTTCATATCTATCAATTTATGTACAGTTCGACACAAAAGTAAACACACTGAAAATAAAAATTAAACACACTTTTTACACCTACTCACAACACATAAATTAGTCTAATTTCTACCTCACATGCATTAATTTATGTTTGGATTAATTCTTAATAAGCATTAATTCATACACAATTAAATAATGTATGCTGCATCAGGAATATCTAAATCACATACCAAACGTAACTTAAACAGATTTCAAACGCATACACATTAATTTATGTATGCATTTCTCCTTCATATCTATCAATTTATGTACAGCTCGGCATAAAAATAAAAACACTGAAAATAAAAATTAAACACACTTACTTTTGATCTATTGATCGGATTTTCATGTACCAGAATTCAATCTCAACATGACACTTTACCGAGGGAAAAACTCTTCAGAGCAAATTCTATTTCACTCACAATCGTAATTTAAAATTTAAAGTATAGAAAAATGGGATTTCATTTAAACCTAGGGTAAACTATGAAGTTTAAATGGTAAAAAAAGATTTCAAAGTACCCAAAATATATGTCTGCGGGATTAATTATATGCTAGTGGGGAAGCAATTCTGCCATAATTTATTTTCATTTTGATACTTTGAAACTTCTTTTCATCATTTTGATACTTTGAAGCTTCTTTTCATCATTTTGATACTTTGAAACTTCTTTTCATCATTTTAAATTTCACAGTTATCTTTTTATTTATCTGAACTCACTTTTTCCATTATTTAAATTTTAAAATACCAATGGAGTTAAAACAGAACTTGCCATGAAAAATTTCCTATAGTGTCCTCTTAATGGCTTAAGAACAAAACCTTAAATATGCTAATTAATTAGTGCAGACGATATTTTGAAATACGAAATGAAACACAAAAGCATGCTATCTCTAAAAAAATATACCTTTTTTTCAACGGATTAAGATTCTTGACCCTCAAAAAATGGGGTGAAGCCGTAATGTTTGAAAATATGGTCTCAATAATTTAGACAGAAGAGCAGTTTAAAACTTGGACCCTTTAATGTTAATTTCATTTTTCGCGCATTTCATGCAACTGTTTAAGCGAATCGAAAAATTTTTGCGCACAATTATAATATTCGTTTATCCAAAGATAATTCCATGTCCAAAATGGTTTTTAATAGTTACTAATTATTTTTTATTACCTTATTTACTAATAATAGAAAAATTTTGAAGTGCAAGGTATACAAATTTGTACATCATTTTAAAATACATAATTTTAAATTATGAAAGACAAAATTTGAGCGCAATCGGTCGAATAATTCCTGAGTAATTAAATTTAAAATATACTACCTCTTAAAATGATATTTCTCTTAAACTATTCAACCAATTTTGTTCAAATTTTTCATTTTGTCATTTAAAATTACTAAGTTTAAAGTAGAGTAAAAATTTGTACACCTTAAAATTCAAAATTTATTCGAATATTATTAAATAAAATAGCAATAATAAATGAATAATTATTAAAAATTATTTTTGAATTAAATTATCACTGAATAAACTATAATCATAATTGTATGCAAAAGAAATTTATCGATTCGTTTAAAAAAATTCCAAGATGTGGTGAAATAATACGTAGAAAATTTTCATCTTAACTTTCCACAGCTCTACTGACTAAACTATTGGGACCATATTTGCCAAATTATAGCTATCAGTCATACTTTGAGAGTTAATAAACTAAACAGATTGAAAAAAAGGTATGTTTATTCTGAAAAAATACGTTTTGTTACATATTTAAGATCAGGTTCTCAAATTGTTAAGATTGAATCTTAGTCCGTGAAAATCCGCACATAAGGGATCATTCAAGGTGTTCACCTTTTTTTGGCACACTGTACTGTAAAATAGTTATGATCTGTAGAATTTAGAATGTATAGATTGCATACTACACGTAAATTAAATAAATTTCAACTCTTGTTTTCATCTTTATCCTTGTGTGTCTTAGTAAATGAGATTTTTATGTGCTATATTGTTAGAATTTATTTTGCAAGTAGTACTACAGGTTTAGAAACGCGTTAAATGATGACTATCGCAATATGAAAAATCACTTAAAGCAACATCTATCTTAAAAAAATTAGAAAAAAATACGCTTTTGAGGGAAACGCATTTTAAATTAAAATGCTTTTAACACCACTTTTATTTTTATTTTTTTGTATCACCGTCTAGATTAACGAATATTTGTTGAAATATTAAAAAAATAATGAAAATAAATATAATATTTCTTTTACCTGGAACATTAATTCGGAAACAAGCTTGTGCGGTTAAAAGCCATTCCAGTCTCGTTTCAGCTAGAATAACAATGGGTTTTTTTGATGTTACACCAATTGAGAGCAATCCTTTGGCAACATGCTCAACTCTTTCATTTACTTCTTTAAAAGAAAGCCACTTATATTCTCCGAGATTTAGCTGAAAAATAATTACTATTTACGCTTTATTTTTAATTATTTAATATCTTAATTAATAAGCTAAACTAAATAAATATGGTTTTGACAAACTTCAGTTATTTAACAAAACACCCGGATTGTAAAAGCAAGAATCTTGTTTCTAACTATATATTTTTTTAAAATTAATTGTGTATATATGTTTTTAATTTTGTAAATTGTAATAATAAATAAATTTAAAAAATAATAATAAAAATAACTTATAATTTTGTAAATTGCATAATTAATTGTATAATGCTTGTAATTTTATAATTCATTTGTAATTCTTTTAACAAGGTCGTAAGTTTTAGAACATTAGAAAATGTACTTTTTTTAAAACTTTCCCTGCCTTTTTCTCCACTTCTTCTCCTAAAACCCCTCGTTTTCCATAACAATTTCTAGCCCCGTATTTTAAAACAGCGCATTTAAACAATTCCTCTATTGCTTCAGCCTCAATATTTGTCAGCATTGCATGCTTCACTTGACGAAAATAACATAACAACCGTATAATCTCTTTCATTTTAAAGTTTGGTCTATAAAAAAGTAAAATTTAAAACTTTGTTTCCAACTGTATTTGTTTTTTAAATTTACATTGTACTTGATTTATAATTTCTTTAACATAGTCGTAAATTTTAGAACATTAGAGAATTTACTTTTTCTAAAAATTTTACTAACTTTATCTCTATTTCTTCTTCTTCTAAAACTCCTCCGTTTTCCATTTTTTTACAACAATTCAACAATTTTTATCCCCATATTTAAAACAGCATATTTAAACAATCTCCCCTTAGTTTACGCATCAATATTTGTTGACATTGCATGCTTCATTTCACGAACATAACATAACAACCTTGGAGATATTTTTCATTTTAAAGTTTGGCCTATAAAAATGTAATTATAAGCTAAACTTTGTTTCTAACTGTATTTTTTTTAATTTAACACTGTACCTGATTTATAATTTCTCTAAAATACTCGTAAATTTTAGACCATTAGAGAATTTACTTTTTTTAAAAATTTTCCTGGCTTTATTTCTACTTCTTCTTCTCCTAAAACCTCTCGTATTCCATAACAGTTTTTATCCCCATATTTTAAAACAGCATATTTAAACAATTCTTCCATAGTTTCCGCATCAATATTTGTTGGCATTGCATGTTTCACTTGACGAACATAACAACCGTATGGATCTCTTTCATCTTCAAGTTTTGCCTATACGAAAGAAAAAAAATAATAACTTGAAGCATTGAACATCTTAGTAAGAAAATGTTAAGTAAAATACATAACTGAAGAAAAAAAATACTCATGACACAAAAACATTTTTAATTAGATTCGATCAACAAAATAGTTGAAACAAAAGGCGTTAATAATCATTAAAAAATCGAGAAAAGGAGTTATTATGCTCCTGTTTAAACGTAACCAAGTAGTTAATATCATAACCATCATGGCTTCTGATATAAAAATGTAAAATTTTATCATTACCTTCCATCATTTAATTTTAATTTTTTTTTTTTTTTTTTTTTTTTTTTTTTTGTAAATCATTTCATTGAACCTCACATGTTCTGAATAACTTCCGCATTGTATTCCGCTTCTTATAAAAATGAATAAAAATTAAGTTTGAATGCTCAAATACCAGTTTTGGAACATCCTGTATTATTGAGGAAGTTTAATCAAGAAAAACATTTACTGTTTTTCCTATTTTTACTCTCGAAAATATACAAAAATTACATTTTTTAGAAACTTCTTGCTCTTTTCTTTTCTTCTGCTCATTTCATAATTTATTTATTCATTTTTTTACGTATTTCTGCTTTTATAAAACAAACAGATGAATTCCAAAAAAGAAAAATTCTTTATAGATTATATGATAAACCCTACGTATTTAGTCAATTTTAGCAAATTACAAACGGGTGAACAGAAAGGAAAATTATTTTTTTTATGCTTAAAACTTTTTTATAAAACCATTATTATTTTTAAAAAATAATTTATATTAATAAAATATCTACATAAATACATTTAATGAAAATATAAAATATATATTTTAAAAATGAAGTGTAATATTTAAGAAGTTATTACGAATAACAAAATTAATATTCCTTGTTAAATAATATCTTTATCTCTTTATCACCTAAATCAGTGGTGTCCAACTGATGATCCGTAAGTCAAATCCTTGTCAAATCCACGGGAGAAAAAACGTGACGTATTATTAAGCATTTATTTAAAAACAAATTCCGGCATTTAGTCGAAAGGGAAAAATGGGAATATATAGGTATGAACTATTTTTGCTACATAATTATAGCAAAAAAGGCGTATATTAAATTTTACAATCCAAAAACATACCTTGTGATAAATAATTTTTTTTTAAAGAAAAAGAATAAAAATTGCAGTTTCTTCTGAAACAATCAATTCTGGGAAAGTACATCTTTCCACCTTTTTTTTTATTCTAAAAGTTTCGTCATTCTGATAAAATGTTACACTCTGAAGTGCTTCAATGAATGAATTTCTCAACATTCAAAGAGCTTTTATAACTATTTATAGAAAACACAACCAACGATACATTTAGAAAATAAGTTGAAATGATAAATCAATTTCGATAACCCTATATTTTAATAATCACTCGTTATAAATATATATATATATATACATATATATATATATATATATATGTAATACAAAAAGTAAATACTTTTGTATTAATAAAAGAATTAAATCTCTTTCGTTTTCATAAAATGTCTTTGTTAAAGAATAAGCGTAGAGAGATTCTATTTTGGGAATTCAAGGCTGAATACTTACCATTGAAATATAAATAGATTTATATTTCAAGGGAAGAGTTA